GTGTGTGTGTGTGTGTGTGTGTGTATGTATGTATAAAGGTGTTTTAAATCCTTCCCACACTCTTGCAATATTCTAAAGAATGTTTCTAAACTCTAAACGCTCTAAAAGAGCACAGAATGTCATGATTTCAGCTACCCCTTGCCTCCCCTGCTCTTTGCCACCTGAAAGCGCTCTTGGTCACACTCCTCCGCTCTGCACACTGAACAGCTCAGCTACAGCAGGAAGTTTATCCTGCAGCAGTATGGGCTGCACAAAGCTGCAGTAAGTGCGAAATAATTTAAAATAATTTATTTTAAATTAAAAATGCCATGCAGATTGTTCAGCTCATCCATCAATCAGCCAATTGTGTCATGTCCAATCTTATTTTGAAAAACTGCGATAGAACGAGTTCACGATAAACAAACAGCCAAGTAGCAAGGGACTACTCTGTAACACTCTGCTGTTGTGACATACAACAGTAGAAGGAGATTTTATATACTATATAACTCACTCATTTAAAGCCAACCATGAGAACTGACCTGCTGTTTGAGCATTAATCTTCAGCTTTAGGTTGTTGACAACAGGTAGAGTTGGAATGTTCTTAATGAGAAAGGGCAGGAGGACATGCTGTCTTAGGGAAACATCAAACACTTTGGTTGCCAAATTAAGAAGCATTTGGTCCTGGGGACTTCTCACTGGGTTCTGCTTACTAACCTTGAAATAGTTGATAAAAAATTGAAAACATATGTAAATCATGCTTTAAGGTTTGTGGTTGTGAAGTGAAAACATGTGAAAAACATACTGATAGGATTTGTGAAAGACATCAGTGTAACTAACTCCAGTGTGGAACCCTAAAAGCCAACTACACCTTCAGAGCAGGCCAATGAATTTAGTACATATGAAATGTTACATTAAAATTGTTATTCAATTTCTAATTAATATACATACTCCTCCTTGATTCGCCACCTTATCAAGGTGGAGGAGTTTGAGCAACTGAATGATCCTAGGAGCTATACTGTCAGGGGCGATTGTAATTGCCCCTGGTAGAGTCTCCCAAGGCAGATTGGTTCTAGGTGACAGGCCAGACAAAGAGTGATTCCAAAGACTTTTTATGGACAAACAACAACAAGGAGCTCAGTGTCCCTTCTCTGGACGTGGGTTACCAGGACCCCACCCTGGAGCCAGGCTTGGGGAGGGGCTTGTCTGTGAGCACCTGGTGACCGGGTCTCTACCCATGGGGCCCAATTGAATTCAGCCTGAAGGAGCAACATTGGGTTGACTTCCTGTGGGCCCACTATCTGCAGGAGGGGCCATACAAGTCGGATGCATGGTCCCATGGGCAGTGGCTGAAGACGGGGTCTTGGCACTCTGACCCTGACTTACTAAAGCTGGCTCTTGGGACATGGAACGTAACCTTTCTGGCAAGGAAGGAGCCTGAGCTTGTGCGTGAGGTTGAGAGGTACTGACTAGATATATCCTGATGCATGCTCAATAATCCAGGTAGAAAAATCTAAAAAAGTTAAATCTGGTCCTCTGGACATTCAAAAAAACAAAACAAAACAACAACAAAAAATAGAAACGTTTCGTCTTTCATCCGAAAGACTTCTTCAGTCTGAGGTGCTGTATTCAGCTCAGTCTTACGAATACAGTGCCTTGCGCAAGTATTCGGCCCCCTTGAACTTTTCAACCTTTTGCCACATTTCAGGCTTCAAGCTTAAAGATGTAAAATTTCAATTTTTTGTGAAGAATCAACAACAATTGGGACACAATCATGAAGTGGAATGAAATTTATTGGATGTGTCAAACTTTTTTAACAAATAAAAAACTGAAAAGTTGGGCGTGCAATATTATTTGGCCCCTTTACTTTCAGTGCAGCAAACTCACTCCAGAAGTTCAGTGAGGATCTATGAATGATCCAATGTTGTCCCAAATGACTGATGATGATAAATAGAATCCACCTGTGTGTAATCAAGTCTCCGTATAAATGCACCTGCTCTGTGATAGTCTCAGGGTTCTGTTCAAAGCGCAGAGAGCATCATGAAGACCAAGGAACACACCAGGCAGGTCTGAGATACTGTTGTGGAGACGTTTAAAGCCGGATTTTGATAGAAAAAGATTTCCCAAGCTTTAAACATCCCAAGGAGCACTGTGCAAGCAATCATATTGAAATGGAAGGAGTATCAGACCACTGCAAATCTAACAAGACCCGGCCGTCCCTCTAAACTTTCATCTCCAACAAGGAGAAGATTGATCAGAGATGCAGCCAAGAGACCCATGATCAGTCTGGATGAACTGCAGAGATCTACAGCTGAGGTGGGAAAGTCTGTCCATAGGACAAAAATCAGTTGTACACTGCACAAATCTGGCCTTTATGGAAGAGTGGCAAGAAGAAAGCCATTTCTCAAAGATATCCATAAAAAGTGTTGTTTAAAGTTTGCCACAAGCACCTGGGAGACTCACCAAACATGTGGAAGAAGGTGCTCTGGTCAGATGAAACCAAAATCAAACTGTTTGTCCACAATGCAAAATGATATGTTTGGCGTAAAAGCAACACAGCTCATCACCCTGAACACACCATCCACACTGTCAAACATGGTGGTGGCAGCATCATGGTTTGGGCCTGCTTGTTGTCAGCAGGGACAGGGAAGATGGTCAGAATTGATGGGAAGATGGATGGGGCCAAATACAGGACCATTCTGGAAGAAAACCTGTTTGAGTCTGCAAGAGACCTGAGACTGGGACGGAGATTTATCTTCCAACAAGACAATGATCCAAAACATAAAGCCAACTCTACAATGGAATGGTTCACAAATAAATGTATCCAGGTGTTGGAATGGCCAAGTCAAAGTCCAGACCTGAATCCAATCAAGAATCTGTGGAAAGAGCTGAAGACTGCTGTTCACAAACGCTCTCCATCCAACCTCACTGAGCTCGAGCTGTTTTACAAGAAAGAATGGGCAAGAATTTCAGTCTCTCGATGTGCAAAACTGATAGAGACATAACCCAAGAGACTTGCAGCTGTAATTGCAGCAAAAGGCGGCGCTACAAAGTATTAACGCAAGGGGACCGAATAATATTGCATGCCCCACTTTTCAGTTTTTTATTTGTTAAAAAAGTTTGACACATCCAATAAATTTCATTCCACTTCTCGATTGTGTCCCACTTGTTGTTGATTCTTCACAAAAAACTGAAAATTTCTATCTTTATTTTTGAAGCCTGAAATGTGGCAAAAGGTTGAAAAGTTCAAGGGGGCACTGTAGCACCTTCTCAGAGTGGATCAACCAGTTTTGCTGCTGACAACCAAAACCAGCTGCTCACATGATCAAGAAGGACCATCAGCCTAACGATGGATCATTAGCACACTGATGGCTGTTTACTGTTCACAGAGGGCTGAGTGATACTAGCAATCACAGCATTGTAAGAGGGGGACAGTTGAACACGGAGGCCTCCACCCCTGTTTAATGATGGACAATTTCTTTTCACAAAGATGGCCTCCTTTACTCCTTTCTCAAACCATCGTTTCTCTCTATCCAGGATGTGAATATCTTCATCCCTGAAAGAGTGACCGCTGGCCTGGAGATGAGCATAGACCGCAGAGTCCTGGCCTGATGTTGTTGCTCTTCTGTGCTGGGCCATCCTTTTGGCCCGTGGTTGTTTAGTTTCCCCGATGTAAGACTGATCACAGCCCTCCTGACACTGAAAAGCATACACAACATTACTCTGTTTGTGCCGGGGGACTGGATCTTTGGGATGAACCAATCTTTGCCATAATGTATTTTGGGGTTTAAAAGCCACTGGGACATTGTGTTTAGAAAATAAACGTCTCAGTTTCTCTGATACTCCCTCAACATATGGAATGACCACTGGTCTGGGTTCCTCCTTTTAACCCGATAGCTGACTAGAGTCCTGTTTGGGTTTCTTCTCTGCTTTCAGGAAGGCCCAGTTAGGATATCCACATTGCTCTAGAGCCTGTCTTGTGTGGGATTTCTCCTTCTGCCTGGCTCGTGAGTTAGTGGGGACGCTGTCTGCTCTGTGGTACAGAGTCCTGATGACTCCTAACGTGTGCTCCAAAGGGTGATGGGAGCTGGTTTTGGTTGTCAGCAGCAAAACTGTAAGGAACTCTCGTGAGGGTTTGGACCAAGATCACAACACAACAGAATGACAATAAATAATAATGTGTTTATTGTTTCAAGGGAGGAAGTGACAGCCGGTCCTGGTGCCGGTCTGGGTTCTGGTTCGGGTTCTGGTGTCGGTTGGATAGCAGGAACAGTTCTATGAAGTAGAGAACGGTTAGTGGTCGTGCTGATTACCAGAACGTGGAGAACAGTCAACAAGGAAAAACCACTAACCGTCTCGGATGATCTCAAGGGTCCTGAAGGGTTGAAGTGTTCAGATCTGCAGCTGCTGGAAGGGCTGAGTCCGGTGAAGGACGACAGTCGGCCGCAGCTGTCTGTGTGGCCAGAGTCCGTGATCCAAAAGGGGTGGTCAGGCTTTCCAAAGTCCAGTAACATGAAGCAGATGTCAGGCAGTACCAGAGGAGCAGGCAGATCGGTGGTCGTGCAGGCGTGGGTCGGTACCAAGAGCAGATGCAGAAACAAATCCAAAAGGGAAATCCAAAGAGACGTGGTCGAGGCAGGCGGAGGGTCAAGGAACCAAGAGATCAGGCCAAACAAGAAGGGGAGAACAACCAGAAAGAGGGACAGGTAACGTGGTGGGCAAGACAAGGAGCGAGGACTTGAACAGGGACAAGAGAGGGGAACAAGGACTACTTACTAACTACAAAGAGTGTTCAACTATCGGGCACCGAAGAGTTGACAGGGTGCTGCTTATAAAGGGTGGAGAGAAACAGGTGCAGCCAGTCTGAGATAATCAGGCCAGCTGACTGCAGTGCAGACAATTAGTGCAGTCAGCCTTCACCAACATGCAGAGTGGATAGACTGGTTCTCCACATACACACACATGAGAACCAGGTAGAAGTAGATAAGGAGTGAAGAGGAAAAAACCAGAACAGGACTGAGAAACCAGAACTAGTGAACAGAGTGATAAAGATCTAAACACAGGGACGTGATTCATGACAAAAACTGGTTGATCCACTCTGAGAAGGTTCTATTTATAAGACTGAGCCGAATACAGCACCTCAGACTGAGAAATTCTTTCGGATGAAAGACGAAACGTTTCTACTTTTTTGTTTTGTTTTGTTTTTGAATGTCCAGAGGACCAGATTGAACTTTTTTAGATTTTTCTACCTGGATTATTGAGCATGCATCAGGATATTTTGAACCACTTTTGCCAGGATTGCCTCAAACTAGTTAGAGAGTTTGAGAAAACAGCAAGGAAGAGGGCAGACTACAGGAACCACTTGAGATTCAACCTCAGATGTCGACAAAGTGGCATCATTCCCAAGAGCCTGGAACTAAAATGTTTGGTCAGCAGGCACCGAGCAAGCAAGATCCTTCAGAAGGCACAGACCCAGCTGCTGAACGGGCGAGACAGACCAATTTTACCATTGAGGCCTTGAAGGCCAAAGAAGAGCACATTAAACAAAAACTAACAATGTGCCTAGATCAGACCACATTTCAGCAAGTGATGGACTGTACAGATCAGTCATGCTTAGCACAGCATGTCAAGTCCAATACTCGACAACAAAACAAGTTCAACTTATTAATAACTCATCAACATCAGCACAGTTCCAATAACAACGCATTCAGTGTAAGACAACACTTCAGTAGACAATTACATGCCAGGGAGACAGAAAAATGGGTGAAGAATTTATCTGACAGACAGCTCAACCAGCCGGAGACAGAGATTCTTGCCAGGGGACTGATCTTTGCGGTTGCACAAAGTAGAATTCCTCTGGTGGAGATGATCACAGCCACAGAATCAGCCATTCGCAACAACAAAATTAAAGAGGGTGAAGCACTTGGCACCAGGACACCATAGGTCATAGATTGATGATTGTCTTTGTAGGTGTGTCATCTGATTTGGGGCCCTGTTTTGCATATCTGGGTGAAGAGAGGAGCTGAACTGTCAACTGATCACCACCTGGTAGTGAGTTGGATCAGATGGCAGGGGAAGATGCCAGACAGTATTGAGGCTTTGCCTGCCTTGCAGAAGAATCCATCAGAAAGACTGGTTAACGCTGATGTAAAAACCCTGGCAAAAGTCCTTGCAAAATGACTAGAGCAGGCAGTCCCCACTATTGTTCCACCTGACCAAACAGAGTTTGTTAAAAACCGTTAGGCTTTCTTCAATGTTAGGCGACTGCTTGGTGTGTTTTATTCCTAGCCCACCCGAACGTACATGTGACAAAGTCACATTCTGTCATTAGATGCGGAGAAATCATTTGACCGGGTGGAGTGGGATCATCTCTTTGAGACCTTAAAGTTATTTAAATTTGGTCCCTAATTCATATCATGGGTGAGGTTGATTTATACCTCCCCAATGGCGGCAGTCCACACTAACTGTAGCATTGTGTGTTCAGTTTGTCCCTGCTAGTTTTTCTGTTTAGTGTTAGGTTGGCATTTATGTTTTAGTTGTTGTCAGTGACTGTTTAAAAATTACACAGTAAGTCATATGCATATGATAATGATGATGTATAAAACTGGTGGAAGCACTACCCAGCATGTACTTGGATAGTGAAACTAAAAATTAAGTTATGAAAGCAGCCCGCAGCTCAACTTCTTCAGTGTCATCATGTTACAAGTTGTTACGAGATGACTGAGACTTAACTCTTGTAGTCACTGTTCGTCACTGCCTAACTCCCATGTCTCAGTTGATCACAAAATAAGAACAATTTCAATAAATATCCATTCACTGCCACTTGCTATTCTGTTTTACTCTCAGTTGCAAACTATTTTACAGTGTCAAGTTTTTATTTGTTTTGCCGTTGTTTTGGTAATGACGAACTATATGAATTTTATAGATCAACAATCTTAAAAAAAAACATTAAAAAAGCATCATGTTACCCACCTGTGGCATGCATGACTTCAAGATGTCAGTGAGAATGGATAAAATCTGTGTATAGGAGATGCTGTCATAAGCTTTCATACTCAAGAAGTAGCCACACTCCATTTCCAGTTTTTTAAAATGGTCCTCATCTTGCTTGGTAAGTTTGCTGCTTTCAAAAACATGACCAGCAAATCGATGCAGAAGATGACGGAAGTGGAAGTCATTAGCTTGACTTGGCTCAGGAGCTTTAAAAACACCATTGCTAATGGTTTCCTTCATCACGCTCAAGCCCATTTTGTTTAAGATCTTGTTTCCTGAAACACAGTAAAAGTCAAATCAAATTTATTTGTATAGCACATTTTTTTCTCTCTGTACTCCGGTGAAATCACACGTGTTTCCTTGCGCTCCATAACCCCCCCCCGCTTTCCTGCTTACGCTCTTTCGTCCTGTGAACCCTTAAAGAGCCTCTTTTTTAATGCATACCTCCTAAGGAGTCAGGGTAAGGAGGACCCTTTTACCTCGACGGAAACAAATTGGATTCATGATGACAACTGGTTATTTTGCTGTTTGGCTGGTGAATTCTGGATTGTCTACAAATTTGTGTGGATGTGTCGAAAATTGACAGCGCTCAGACTGAATTATGTGCAGTTGCGTCAGAGAGCTGGAGCAGCTGTTATCAGGAATGTGGACTCTATAGCAACACACATGAAGGTGGAAATAATCTTGGCGAAAGCTGCGAGCTTGGCTTTCGGCGTAAGGAATCAATTCGGCTGTTTGGAGTTCCATTAGAGTAATTTATACCAGCGAGACTTTAAAAGGCAGAAACAGCAATTTAAGAGTTCTGCCTGACCCAAACTGTGCCCTTGACGATGGACTTATCTCAACTCCTCCTGGAATGTTTAGAAAAAACAAAGATGCTTTGTCTGTCTCCTCACCACTCCTTTCCCCAAGGCCGTGACATGTGACGGAACCTCACCCGAGCTGATGATGAATAAAACCTCTTATCTGGACAATGGCTGAGAGGGCGGGCTTTGGACTATGCTACGACTTTCCCTTAAAAATTCAATGTCTTCACCGGCCTATATGTAAATGTATAACATCTATTTATGTTGCTTTGCTGTGGTAGGTTTTTTTGATGCCTCAAATCGTTCCCTGTCTAGGACAAGGTGTGAGAGATCTTTTGTTTAATACCATCTCTCCTCATGTTTTCTTCCCTTTTCTCATCTAAGCAAAATATTACTCTGAATAAGAAAAACGAGGGCCGCGCTTTCATAGTAGCAGCTTCGCGCACTCTGCCCATCTTTCGGACGACTGTAAGTGCATGTTCTCGTTGTATCTCGGTGCAATGATAATAAAGTTTATTCTGATGCTAATTCTGATTTTAAACTGGAACTGTTACCAAGGTGCATTAACAAAAGAGACACATACATGGGGAGACTAAGCTGCAGCACTTGAGCAACGCCACCTTTTTAAATAAGGAAAGTGACAACATGAGGAAAGTGGACATTAGAAACAACCTCAGCACAAAAAGCAACATAAATAGACATGACATATACATTTATGCATAGGGAACAACAAAGGTGGTGAGTAGTCCATCGACACTCCAGAAAGTTCCAACGTTCTGATAAGATGGTAGAGTGGCTATCAGCATCACAATTTTGATAAGGTCACAGATGTCCTCTTAGCTTAGGCAGAAGTTTCTAGTTTACAAATCCTCAAGGAGCAATTTCAGATAAGCTTAAAAACACACTTCTATTCCCTGGCTTTCAGCACTGTGTGATCTGTGCTGAGTCTGTGTGCATCACGCTGTGTTAGTCATGTTGCGGTTGTTGTTGTTATCCATTATTGTTTTTGTCGGTTTCTACTTTTTGGTGTCCTGTTATGTAATCTGTTGCTATGTGCTTGTTCTGTTTGTCCCTGTACAGCACTTTGCTGTGCTTTGTCACTGTTTAAAGTGCTTTATAAATAAATTGGTATGGTATGGTATGGTATAAGTTGGCCTGTCCAAGGCCAGCGGGGAGGCCAAATTCAGATAAACAACAGTTGTTTGGGCCGTCAGACTCTGATTTCTGTCTGCCTTCAAGTTCTGCTGGTACACTCAATGGCAAATCCAAACAGCCAAATTTATGGAAATTCCACCCGGTTCATGCTCAATTAGCTTTCTCCAAGACTGAAACCTTCATGCCAGTGAGTTCCAGGAGCCGCAAGTGATCTTCAATTCTCATAAATCACGCCCAGCTTGCGGTTTAGCTTGTTAAGCATATGAATCTGAGAGTTCGAGGCACAATTAATCCTTCACATAAGGCTGGCAGCTTTACCATGGCCTAACTGCTGCCAATGTCTTCCTAATTTGTCAATATCCTAGGTATCTGCCAATTCCAAAAAGCAGCAACCCTGTTATCATAAATCCAATAATGTACACATCTTCTGCATCCTCCACAAACAGCACAGATAGGCACATCATATTCCACTCATTCCAGGAATCAATAAACTGCTTTTCAATTGATCAGGACAGTCATACTTTATTCATGAAAATACAGTTACAGTTATCCAAATAGATTATTTAATATGTTCGTCTCCACACAGTAACAGAAGACGTTCTCATTTGTTAGGACTTCAGTGTCAGCAGAGAAGGCTGAAGTCAGAATTTCACCTATATGATTTTGCTTAATAATTGACAGGAAAATTGGGACCAAAACACAGGAAAAAGGACTTTGGGAAGGCCTTGCAAGGATTTTAAAGTTTGTATTTATTTTATTTACATATTTATTTTTACCATGTTAGATTTGTGATGCATCCAATTGCAAACTGCAAATTAAAAATCAACAGACATTTTAGACGCTCTAAAAATGAAGGTTGAATATCAAATTTAGGTTTACAGTACATTGTTAGTTTCCAATATTAAAGTTGTGTTTTGGTTTCATTACATTATGAAATTTTACAGAAACAATAAATTATGTGGGTTACCATTAAATTTCAGCCTGAATCATTGAAATCACACATACTTGAATGAAATAGGTTGGTGAGCCTTCGGGGTAATGTTGGAACAGAAATGGGTGGACTTATTCAGGTTTGGTGTTCCGATGGGTTATCCCTGTTGGTTTTTCTGTTTAGTGTTGGATTGGTATTTAGAGTGGTGCTTGAAAGTTTGTGAGCGCTTTAGAATTGTCCATATTTCTGCATGAATATGACCTAAAACATCATCAGATTTTCAAACATCTTAAAAGTAGATAAAGAGAAGCCAGTTAAACAAATGAGACAAAAATATTGTACATGGCGATTTATTTCCATCCATTATCTTTACCCACTTCTTCCTTTTAGGGTTGTGGGTGTCACTGGTGCCCATGTCCAGCCATCTCTGTGCGAAAGGCGGGGGACACACTGGACAGGTTGCAAGTCCATCACAGAGACACATAGAGACAAACAACCATTCACTCTCTCACTCACACCAAGAGACAATTTAGAGTTACCAATCAGCCCAACATACATGTTTTTAGTCTGTGGGAGGAAACTGGAGTATCCGGAGAAAAGCCACGCATGCACAAAGATAACATGCAAACTCCACCCAGGAAGGCCCCCCGGCTGGGACTTTGGCCAGGACAATCTGCTCTCTAAGAGGCAGCAGCTCTACCAACTGTGCCGCCGTGCTGCCCTATTTATTGAGGAAAACGATCCAATATTACATATTTGTGAGTGGTAAAAATATGTCATCCTTTGCTTTCAGTACCTGGTGTGACCCCCCTGTGCAGCAATAACTGCAACTAAATGTTTCTGGTAACTGATGATCAGTCCTACACACTGGCTTGGAGGAATTTTAGCCCATTCCTCCGTACAGATCAACTTCAACTCTGGGATGTTGGTGGTTTCCTCACACTAACTGCTCTCTTAAGGTTCTTTCACAACATTTGGATTGGATTATGGTCCGGACTTTGACTTGGCCATTCCAAAACATGAACTTCATTCTTCTTGAACCATTCTTTGATAGAACGACTTGTGTGCTTAGGGTCATTGTCTTGCTACTGTACATGACCCACCTTCTCTTAAGATTCAGTTCATGGACAGATGTTCTGACATTTTCCTTTTCTCTGATATAATTCAGAATTCATTGTTCCATCAATGATGGAAAACTGTCCTGGTCCATATGCAGCAAAATAGACACAAACCATGATACTACCACCACCATATTTCACAAATGGGATAAGGTTCTTTTGCAGGAATGCAGAGTTCTCCTTTCTTCAAACATATCAAATTTCATTTAAACCAAAAAGTTTTGTTTTGTTCTCATCCGTCCACAAAACATTCTTACAACAGCCTTCTGGTTTGTCCACATGATCTTTATCAAACTGCAGATGAGCAGCAATGTTCTTTTTGGAGAGCAGTGTTTTCCTCCTTCAACCCTGCCATACACACCATCGTTGTTCAGTGTTCTCCTGATGGTGGACTCATGAACATTGCCTTTAATGTGAGAGAGACCTTCAGTTGTTAAAAGTTACTCTGGAGTCCTTTGTGACCTTGCCCACTATTCCACACTTGCTCTTAGAGTGATCTTTGTTGGTTGACCACTCCTGGGGAAGGTAACAAGGGTCTTGAATTTCGTCCATTTGCCCACAACCTGTGTGACTATGGATTGGTGGAGTCCAAACTCTTTACAGATGTTTTATAACCTTTTCCAGCCTGATGAGCATCAACAACTCTTTTTCTGAGCTCCTCAGAAACCTCCTTTGTTCCTGCTGTGATCCACTTCCACAAACATGTTGTGAAGATCAGACTTTGATAGATCCTGTTCTTTAAATCAAACAGGGTGCCTACTCACACCTGATCATCATACTGTAGTGAACTTAATCTGAGGTCAAGACTAAGCCTAAGGTCAAAACTCTTGACCT